TATATATATATATCATCTGGCCACCTTTTGTTTTCTTACACTATTATTCATTACATTGAAGGATTTTTTTGAAAAAAGGGCATGTAATGATTATGATACCCACTTTTTTTTTCCGGGATGTCAAGGTAATCGCCTAGAGTTTTACTATAACGATCTGGTATCTGTTTAACTAAGCCCTTTTACAATGTACATGCCGCTTCTTCTGAACTGTTGAAAGTTGAAGTAATGCTGTTTTACTCTCGACGTACTCTTCTCAATACGCACAGTATTGACTATCTTCATGATTGGGTCATACCTTCATTAAGTTGCGTGGTATACATGTCAGAGAACATATCTATCCGTACCTCAAAAATCGATACGCTGCCATTTTCAGGCAACATATGGTCCAGTGGGTTAGGTTACGGCGATGAGACGCGTTGGACTTCTGTGCGTTCGTCTCAGTAGCCGGTCCAAAGTAGACGAAAAGATCTTCAAGAAAATTCCTTATTTGAATTTGAGAGTACGCTTTCAACGTGCAATGTTGTTTCATTGCTATTTAACACTTTTTAGCGCTACTGCACAAGCTCATCTCAATCCACGCTACCGGTAGCTCATTCTACGATTAGAGTGCGATTTGAACGAGGCCTTCCTCTTCTTAATGTCACTCTACCGTCAAGAGGTGAAGTGTGTCAATTCTCACTTCGGCCGCTTACCGATAATGTTGGAAGTTTTTGCGATCAATTGCAGCGAGAAGATCGAGGATTAGACTTCGTTGCTGTATATACAAAAGGTGCTCGTCTTATAACAATTATGCGATTGTTTTTTTATCTATAAAACTGAAAGATGGAGTTCGTGTCGCAACATCAACGTCTGTTGAGCATTTGCTATTGTTTGGGGAGTTTCGCTTGAGACTGAATGATCGCTATTACGATGTTGTGGTGTCTGAAGGGAACATCGATGAACAGCTAGGAAGTGACAGGTGCTCTTTCACTTCTACTTTTTCGAAAACTTGTGGACATGCGGCAGAATGGTTACTTATTTCAACGAGGATTATTTAGAGAAAAAAGAGAAAAAAGATTGTATGATAGATGAATAGATTATGTGGAGTCGCAGATTGCACTTGCTGATCACTAGTTGTTCATCTTTTCTAGCTAGCACTCTTTTGATTCGTTCTGTTTCATAAGTATTAGCTAAGAAACATTCATCTGATGAACTTGTACTATGATGGGTTTTAGAAAATGAATTTACACGCATTAAAATTATTTTCATACATGCGTACCAAGCTTTCGATCAAAAGATTTCCAAAAAATAAACCCACGTTCTGAGTGGAGCTAAATTTTCAGTCAGGAACGCGCAGTTAGGTAGTCACTTCTTGACATTTGTTAGACAAGATACTAATTTGTAAGTTTATTGGTATAGGTGCCGTTGCAATGCAGTCTTTGGCGGCGCTGTTGTTTCTAATGAGTTTTTCAAGCTCCTTCGAGTTGATTTTTTGCTTCTTAGCATTCATCAAACAGGGTGGTGGGGAATGCATATATATATATATATATATATATATATATATATATAATGTATATATTATTATTATTATA